ACTATAAAATCTCATTCAGTATATTAACATCAAACTCAGACGACCATTAATTTTTTTAACGAAAAAAGACAAAAAAAAAGGACGAGTTTGTAACATAATGAATAATCAGATGAGCATTTTGTAACTTTTAATAGTCAATTGCCTCAACAAAGCAACGACCTATAGTTGAGAGATCATTTTATAACTTTTAATAATCGAAAGACTCAACAAAATAATATCCTATAATCGATGGACCATTTTTATAGTTTACCCATAAAAAACATGTCTTGTGTCATAAGTCATTTGAAACACCCATTTAACAATATCATTGTATTTTTATGGGCTACTCTCAAGCCCAAATCATACAAACAATCAAAAATGCACATAAAAAGACACTAACCTTAATTTCAAACTATCCAAAATATAAAACTAAACTTTAAAAGGATTCAATCCCTAAACTTTCCCTTTCCTTTTTGAGATTTCTTCTCCAACATCTCCTTTGGTAACTTGAAATTGATATTACAATATATGATAATTTTCTTTAATAAATCTAGGATGAATACAAGGTAATATATGTTCAAATACTCTCAACTATTTGATAATGAACGCTCATACATTTGCATATGCGATGCTCGAACCTGGAACCTCAAGAGATAACAACAATTCCTTAACCACTGAAATCGCTTGGTTCGTGCACATAATTTAAGCTTCCAATTTACTAACTTGATTATAAGATAAACACTGATGATTGAATTCCTTACCCTTCCCTACTATATTTTAAACCCTAGTTTATGAATCCTCTTGATCATCAAAGTATCAATTAGGCTTTATGAATAAACATAAAAAGTAAGAATTCTTCTTCAATTTAATGAATGAATTCACACACTCGAACCTCCCATTCTCCCTTAATTTTTTGGTGGTGAGATGATAAAGATGAAGAAATTAATTGATGAAGCAAGTCTTCGTCTTTTTATGTCTCCAGAATTTTCAAAGAAAAAAGAGAAGAAATTCGTAATTAGATAATTTGCTTATAACATAAAAAAACACTTGAACTTAGAAAATTTAGTCAAATTATTTTTTTTTATCAAATTAACTCTTGAATTTGACAAATTTTATCAAAGTGGTCCCCTAAACTTTTTTATGGCCAATTGACCTCTGAAATTGAGTATTTTAGTTAAACTAGCCCTTGAACTTTTTTTTGGAGTGAAATTGACCCTTGAACTCATAAATTGTTATAAAAAAATTCAAGAACCAATTAGCTCGAGGGTCAATTTGATCAAACTAATCAAGTTCAAAGATCAACTTATCAAACAAATTAAGGGTCATTTGACCAAACTTGACAAATATAATTGTCAATTTAACTCATAAAAATTAGGGGCTAATTTAACCCAACTTGCTCATTTCAAAGGTCACTTTATGTTTAAGGTCTAGATAATTTAATTAGAATTCATTAGATGATAATTAGACTAGTTAAGTGAAAAATAGCAATAATTAAAGTTGCACCTCACATTTTTCTTGGCACAAGGAAAAAGACTGGTCAATAAATAAGCCCTCATTTATGGGAAGTGTCCTTGTTGCCCACTATCTTGTTTCTAAATCTAACGTCTTATCATTATCATTGGAGAGAGCTGATATAAAAAGAAAAAAAAAAGACCTGGATTTCGATTGATCATACATTCCGGTAACTGATTTCTTCACCTTTGCCGGTAAAACGACGCAACACCCGCTACTGTTGAACCAAATGACATCAAATTAAGAACCTTGTCCCACCCAGAAATTGATATTATATATGTGTGTGGGTATATAGAGAGATAGATAGAGATTTGCCAAGCTTTTGAGTCATTCATATTGGAGCTCTTGCCTCTGTTTTTTTCGGCCAGCCACAACGTACGTACGTTGGCCCTACTCTTTGCATGTACATTGCCCTACCATCGAGGGCACCGCCCTGGATTTTGGTTGCAAGTGCACATGATGAACTCATGGTTTAAACACTACTTTCCTTTGCATGTCAAGCAAACGAATACAACCATCAAAGGATAGATCGAGAAACATTTGGATACGATCGTACTTCTGAAAATTTAGATCATTATATAATTTAATTACTTTTTTTATCTGAATCCATCAAACGATCTCAATGATAAAAGAAAATATTATTCTCAACGATAATCACCACATATTATTAAAAAAATATTTTCTTTGTATTTTTATTAATGGTTTAATTTCACACCGTTAAAATATTAGAATTTTATACTCTTAAATTTCTAATATAACTTCCTAAATTTATATCTCTTAATATAAAATGATATGTCTATCTCTAAAACCATCTATTTTACTTATAATGCATACATGGTTTTTGAGGTGTCCTTGAATTAAGGATCAGCCAAATTTGAAAGGCCCTTTGGCCTTTGCCAAAGCATAAAAAATGGGATAGGACCACCCGACTGAACCGAAAATTGACTATTAGTCTGATCCGATTTGTATAACTATTTTATTTTAAATAAAATCATAATTATGATATGTTTGATCTCATATTAGAATTTTTTTATCAATGGTGAATTCACCTTTAATTTAGGATGAACAGATGTTCACTCTAAAATTTGAATTTTCTTCAATTAATTAATTATTTGATTGAATACCTTGAAATTTTATTTCTGTCCATCATATACAAAAAAATATGTTATTAATATATATATATATATATTCTAAAAAAATATTTATGAATTTGCCGTTCTTTTTAACATTGCTTTTGTTGTACATTTCTGTCGCCCTTGGCCTATTGGATGTGTATCTTACAAATTAATTAGGCTCTGATCGGTGAATATTAACAAAATCAGAATTGAGCAATTTCTACATGCCAGTGTGGTACTATATAGATAAGCAACTTAGAGTGAAGCACGAATAATTAGTGTAGGATAAATATACCGGTGCTGCAAAACAAACATAATTGCAATTATTAACAAAATAAATAGAATACAATACACAAAATGATTTTGCCCTAATTAGTGTAATCGTGAAATAGATATCGTCTCTCAAAATTAACACAACAATTTTATATTCATACACACAAATGACAAAAATAAAAATTAATATTACGCTTTTAGAAGAAAACGATTGACAAAAATCATAAAAAAAAGGGAGAAAGAAAAATAGAGGAGCAAATGATTGTAGTATGAACAACATGAGAAGAACGAGAAGAAAGTTGGTGGTTGGAATCACTCTCTCCATTTTCTCAACAATTTATTTTAAATTTAGAAAGTAATTTAAAAAAAATTCTTTACATTATTCACAAATACCCACTAATGTAAAGAAATAAAAATTTTAGAAGACGAGAAGAACGAAACAACAAAATTAATCATTTAAATAGTAAAAAAGTTATTATTAAGTGAAATAAGTAATTTTTATATTAACAAGCGAATGAATCTTGACATTAAAATAAAAGTAAGTTCATGATATATCTTTGAAGGAAGGCAGCTAATACTTCACACTTGTGTAGGTATTTTATATTTACTCATGTATTCTTTGTAATAATAAAAAATAGAAAGACAGTGGTACCGAAACGAAGCATAACTTTTACCGCTACGAGATAAATATATTATTATCATAAAACAAATATGTTAAAAATGATAAATTAAATAAATAAATTTATTGGGTTGGGTTAGAATAATTATCTTTAACGTAATTTTGTTTTGATAATCTTCACAATTAACGCAACATTCTTAGATTTATATACTCAAAAAAGAACAGAAAAATCATAGAAAGATGACTGTAATATAAAAAAACAGGAAGAAAGGAGATTCCTTTATAGAAAAAATGAAGGACCAAAAAAGTAAAAAAAAAAAAAAAAGTGTGGCCCCCCAATTTTCTCAGCAACTTAATTAAAATATAATGTTAAATATTTGTTTACTTTGCATTATCCGCGATGAGCATCCATGGTGACACTGTATATAAGAAAGAGATGTTGGTATTTACTTTGATTTGTTCCATCATCCCTATTAGATGAGTAATTCCAACATAAATTGAGACGTAGGAGTTGCTTTGTTTTCTCAAGATCAAAATGCAAGTTTGAGCTGCTTTCTTTCTTGAAGATAAGAATAACAAATTGTCGATTCATTTTATCACTTATTTCCAAGCCTTTATCGCTTTCATTCGGATACGTGTGTTCATCATCAAAAATATTTTTCAAAGTACCATCAAGATGATTTTTATTTTATTTTTCAAAACACGTCATTTCCAGATGATGATTGGTCTTTGTTGACGAAAACGGGTAAAGAAAACAAAAAGAACACGAGAATTTTACGAGGTTCGGCAATGTGCTTACGTCCTCGGTGCCTAGGCGGCGCTAGAAGTTTTTTTATTCAATGATATTTTAAGTCTAGGTTACATCTCTATTTATAATAGAAAACCCTGGTACATAATTACAAAATTAACCTTGTACCGTACCGCGGGGCTGCGCCCCCGCACCCCCAACCCACATAATTCGTAACCCCACAACGAGACTTTCTTTGTAAGGACAGTTGATGTTCGCTTCGCTCACTCCGCTCCATCTCTTGTCCTCTTTACTGGTATATTTATGAGTCATATTAGATGAGTAATTCCAACATAAATTGAGACGTAGGAGTTGCTTTGTTTCTCAAGATCAAAATGCAAGTTTGAGCTGCTTTCTTTCTTGAAGATAAGAATAACAAATTGTCGATTCATTTTATCACTTATTTCCAAGCCTTTATCGCTTTCATTCGGATACGTGTGTTCATCATCAAAAATATTTTTCAAAGTACCATCAAGATGATTTTTATTTTATTTTTCAAAACACGTCATTTCCAGATGATGATTGGTCTTTTCGCCATTGTAACGAGGAAATTAAATAGTAGACGACAGTTCTCTGTTTCTTGCAACTGTCATTGTTTGGGACAGCTTCATGAGTTTCCGTACCACAAAACATTTATATGTTTTGTTTTTTGCCTATATAATCTTGGGGATTACTTAACATTCTCCCACATTCCCTATCCCACCTTCTAATCAACTTGATCATCACACTGTCACTTTCTCTCCCACTTCCATTCCCATTTTTTGCAGGTAATTTGCTTACATTCACTCGAGTTTTCTGTTTTTTCATAAACATTTGGTATATTTCATCTTTATTTGAGCAATGCTATATGATCCATTTCTCTTTTGCAATCAGATTCTAAATCTGATGGAAGGGAAGAAGCACTCTCGGTGTCGAATTCAGACTTTTGAAGGTGTGGCAGATGGTGCTATGGCGGAAATGGCTATGATTGAGCTGCCAGCAGACCAAAATGCTGGAGTTGACATACAAGAAGGGATGCATAAGCATAACTCTGATGAAAAATCGGAATTGCCATGCGAGAAAACAACGAGCGAAACCGAGTCATCGAGTACCGGATTCTTGGTGAATACCGAGTGTACTGCTGCTGATAGCTTTGATGAAATAGAATCTGTTTGCCCAGTAGTTTCCGGCAATTATATAGACTTACCTTTCTTACATCATAAACCTGAAGCCCCCTTCTCTTCAGATGATGTTCCAGATGGCTCAACTCCACCTATTAGCGGTAAAAATGAAAATACAACAACAATTTCTTAGTCCTATAAGCCTAGATTTTCATGTTTTCTTTGTCATCCTAGTTGAGCTGGTGATTGTTCTAAGTCAAGTTTGCAATTATCTTCTCCTACACAGGAGACAAATCGACAAGTCAGTCTCAATTAAAGGATGAAGAGTCAGAACCATGCACTTGGGAGAACTTACGGTTCGAGCCTGCATTACGAATATGTCTAAAGGTAACACAATGATCCACATACCGTATTTTGTATCATCCATCGTACTATGAAAATGGATGATCAATTTTTCACTTTGATGCAGTTTGAAGACGTTACATATAAGGTACCAGTTAAAGGTGAAAAGAACTCAGATGCAAACAAGTACATACTTCATGGAATAACTGGTTTGGTACATCCAGGAGAGGTTCTTGCTCTGATGGGACCATCAGGAGGGGGGAAAACAACTCTTCTTAATTTACTTAGTGGAAGAATGAAGTTCCACAGCGGTACCATTACCTACAATAATCAACCATATTCCAAGTCACTGAAATGGAGGTGCATATACACCAATATACAGGCTTCCATATGTTACTGCATAAGCTATGTTGTTGAATTCTAATTTAACTAGTACTCGTCGATATATGTGCATGCGACAGGATCGGTTTTGTACTGCAGGACGATGTCTCCTTTCCTCATCTTACAGTCAAGGAAACTCTAACCTATGCAGCTCTGCTCCGTCTCCCATATACCTTAACCATGGAGCAGAAGAAGGAAAGGGCAACTAATGTCATTACCGAGCTAGGCCTCGAAAGGTGCTTTCTTCATTAACCTTTTTATATATATGCAATTTTGTGACTCGAACTCGAAAGTGATTAGCTGTTAAAGGGCCATATCAAAATTGTTTCAGCCACATATATATGACAGTGTTGGTGGAATTGACTAATACAGTAACGTTTACTGCTAGATTAATCCCAATACTACCAACAGTATGCAATTTGTTTATTACCTGTAAGTAACTACTTGGATTGTAAAACAAGATAGTATTGATTGCATTTTCTTTTTGCAGGTGCCAAAATACAGTGATTGGCGGGACATTTTTTAGGGGAGTTTCTGGAGGTGAAAGAAAAAGGGTTTGTATTGCCAATGAAATTCTTCTTAACCCATCACTTCTATTATTGGATGAACCAACATCAGGTTTAGATTCGACAACCGCTCTTCAAATTGTTCAGATGTTAAGAAACATTGCCCGGGTACTTAAAATACTTGCTTTAGTTGGTGCCAAGATCTCCGTAATATATTGTAAGGTGTAACTATGTACTTATTTTACTTGTGCTTTGTAGTCTGGCAAGACAGTGGTGACTACAATACATCAGCCTTCTAGTAGATTATTTAGTAAGTTCGACAAGCTGATTCTCTTGGGTAAAGGCAACTCCTTGTACTTCGGCAAGGCCTCTGACGCCATGCTACATTTCTCTTCTATTGGCTGTACTCCACTCATAGCCATGAACCCAGCGGAATTTCTTATTGATTTGGCTAATGGTAACATAAAAGACAAGTCCGTTCCATCAGATTTGGAGGGCAGGTTTTCACCCAGAAACAAAAGTCTTGATTTGAAACATGGAGAGCCTTGCCATGTTGATGTCTATGAGGTCAACACTGAATGCCCAAAATGATGTTCTGTTTATATACCTTTAAATGATGTCACTTACGCCAATCTTGAATTTTCTCTACTGCAGTATCTGGTGGAAGCCCATGCAGTGACGGAAGCGAAGTCGGAGAAGACAAAGCTCATAAATCCCCTACCGATAGATAGTGAAACTATGATGAAGAAAAGGCCGAACACAATGGAATGGGGAGCAACCTGGTGGGATCAGTTCTCGATTCTTTTCCGAAGGGGTCTTAAGGAAAGGCGACATGAATACTTCAGCTGCATGAGTGTAACGCAAGTTTTCTCGGCTGCTATAATGATGGGTTTACTTTGGTGGCGCTCTGATGCTTCCTCTCCAAAGGGACTTCAGGATCAGGCAAACTATCAGTTACATATGCTTATGTTTGTTCTTGTTACAAAGGCTTTTCAGTTCGATCTCATAATATATGTGTTTGATGTTGTTATTAACAATGCTTGCAGGCAGGCTTGTTATTCTTCATTTCAGTGTTTTGGGCATTCTTTCCAATGTTTAGTGCCATTTTTACATTCCCTCAAGAGAGAGTGATGCTAGCTAAGGAAAGATCGGTAGGAATGTATAGACTCAGTGCCTATTTGTTAGCCAGAATGACCAGTGATCTTCCTTTGGATCTCATTTTGCCTTTAGTGTTCCTTGTGATTATCTATCTCATGGCAGGCTTGAAGCCAACATTCACTGCATTTTCACTCACAATGCTTACTGTTTTCTTAAGTGTTGTTGCTTCCCAGGTAAACCATTATAATCAAACATAAATAACTTTCTGAAAGAAAATTGTAGATCTTATAGACGCTATAGCGACGAGTTTTTGTCTGAAAATCGCAGGGCCTTGGCCTTACTATAGGAGCAGCCTTCATGGATGTGAAAAAAGCCTCAACTTTAGCTTCTATTATAATAATGGCTTCCATGTTATCTGGTGGATTCTTTATCCAGGTTTGCTTCCCGGACTCGAGTTCCATAACGTTATTTCTTGAGACGAAAGTAACCACAAAAGGGTTAGGGATATTTCGCAGTTAGATTTGCAATGCTTTTCAGATTCTGAACTTTAATAGTTTTGGTTGCAGAAAGTTCCGGTATTTATGTCATGGATACGATACATCTCATTTACATATCATACATACAGGCTGCTACTCAAGATTCACTACGGTTGCTCGATCGATTCGTGTGGTGAGTCGGATTCATCGTGTAGGTCTCCTTTCAAAGGATTGAGACTCGATTGGGATGGCATTGAAGTCGGTACAATGATAACGATGATCATCGGATATAGGCTACTAGCCTATGCATTCTTAAGGAGAATGAAATTAATGACAATAACTTAGTTTATATTTTCAACAGTGATGATTTGTAAGCATCAGCTTGATCAAGCTAATAAGGGGGCAAAAGGAAAGGATCACATTGTTAAGTCCTTAATAATTTGAACTTGTTGAGTTTCTCATGAGCGTCTCTTCTTTGATTCACTAAACTATTATTAGCAACAAATACAAAAAATATTGGAAAAATAATTGGTTAATTGAATGATTTTAATACAATTTACAATAAATTATGTCACTTGATAAATAGACTTATTAACAATAAGTCATGACACTTGATAAATAGACTAATTAATAATAAGTCATGTCACTTGGTAACTAGACTTATTCTTAGTTTAAAGTTATATCTATTTAATCATACGTATTAGTTTTTGAACAATTCTCTTCGTAATAGGTCAAGTCTCTCATCAAATGGTCTTAAAATTTTAATTCATTTCCTCTTCACTATATAAAGGTTAATAGAGATACAATTTAAACACAACTTAAGAAAATTCTTTCCAAATTCATTCTTTCTAGTGATAGAGAAAGACAAGATTGTGTTCGACTAATCATTGCTGTTGTGCTTAATGTTGTGATCGTCTGTTGTTATATCTTGAGAGACTGACGTCCAACGTTACTCAAAACACTGAATAGAGAATGAATTTGTCTTAAGGAAATTGTTCATACAGGCCCAATGATGGATCCAGAAATATTTTTCAATGTGAACATACATATATTAATCATAGAAATTTTGTATATGTGATAGGCACAAATAAAATTTCAAAGTAGGCACTACCAATAAAATGAACAACAACCATAAAGAAATTCGGATTTCAGGGTGGACACGTACTCACCTTGAAGTACACGTACATCCACCATTGTACAGGCTTCAACAAAAATACTTATTCTATTTATTCAACTTTGTTCATCTAATTTTATGTCTCAATATGAGTAAACAATTTTATTCCTCTATTTTAACTTTATACTTATTTTGTTTCGTTCGATTCAATAATAATACTCATGCATTACGGTTATTATTTTATTATTCTATTTTTGAAATTAACGTTTAGTCTAACAAAATAATCTAATAAAAAATAAACACCAGTCACCCCAATTATCTATTATTAGTATCATTCACCAAACATATTCATATATTTTCTTAATTCTTTCTTCCTTTAGTTTTTCATATCCCTATATTTTCGTGAAGAGCAATATCAGTTAAGTTTTCTTTGATTTAAGTGTATAAATCTAAAAGTAATGTATTAATTGTGAAGATAACATTCAATTTATGATTACATCGTTAAAGATAAAATTTACTTTAAGATAATAACTTTTATCACGACTAACTGAACATGTTTATTCTTTGTGACTTAATTTTGTTAGGCTAGTTATTGCTGATATTTTATTTTGTAACAATAATTTCGTTAGCGATTCAAGAACGATTTTGGTACTGTTGTTAAAACATAACCGAACTCAATTGTAAAAGAGATAAAAGTGTACCCAAAAACGGGATCGGTTGTGAACTTGCTTGATCTAATCATAGGAGGTGACCATGAATATATTATTTCATACATGTGTGTGGGAACACATGCAACGTTCAATGGATCACCCTTTGGACTGGTACATGTTCACTTGCTTGGCCATCATTCTGGCACATATTTTATCGAAATTTAGAGAAACGACCATCCCGATTATTCCTTCAGTCCATCACCGATTCTGCTTTATATTTGAGTGATGATATCATGCTAATCGAAAACCATGCATTTTAGGGAATCTAGTGGGATCAAGTGTTAGGCAACTCCTTATTTTTTTTTTTGTTAATATAAGATGCAAGAAGTATATGTTTAAAAATAATTCTCAATCATTTAACATTGAATGCTCATACCTCTGACATCCCTAATAAAAAGTTGAAAAAGTAAATAATATCTTTTACCACTGACATGACTTGATTCGTGCCGCTCCACCTACAGTCATTTCAAGAAATCGGCGACAGTTTCGAATTTTGTTTTTCTGCTTTGCATTTAACCAAGTAATACCGCCGTGGGGGCAGGTTTCAAATTTGTCGACTCCTTCGGTTAAAGGGCTTACGTGGCTTAATGGGTGTTTTAGTAGGCCCAAAATAACTTACATTTCAGAAAGCAATTTCCAAACTACTACTAGTTTTCATGGGTTGGATATTAGTGCAACTAATATGTTTGGTGGGCATTCTGGAATTTTCACTATAATAATACGTGTTTAATGTCTAGAGATACATACAAGAATAAAATAATATCGAATACATGAATGCCTAGAGATACATAACCGATAACCTTGAACTACTTCCTAGGCAAAAAAGGTGTTGTCCACTGTACTTGCACCCTTACCAGAAGGAAAAACAACTAGCCTATCCATCAGGATCCTTCTAATACGTCTATAATTCTTTTATTAGAGAATGTTCTAATATAAATCATGATAATTACATCTTTATTTTTATTTTGTTTATTAATATAAAGCATCATCGTTATTGTTATTTCAATTCTATTTATATTAATAAATTGAATTATAATAAGAAATAATTAAAGAGCTAACCGACATCGAACAATTTCATGACTAGAATGGAAAGGGCAAGAACAAAGAAGAATCAATGGAGAATCAAAAGGGAAGAAAGAAAATCTCGCCGCTGAGAGCATCTCCTAAACCGGAAATAGTTATTACAAAATTGATTTTCTAACCTTCCCCTGGTTTTCTCGTGTGCTATGTTATTATTATGAACATGGAAAACAAGGGCGTAAAGATAGTTGGAAGAGGTAAGCTATGCAAGATATGACTGACCAACTCGCCAAACGGTGACTCAAAATTAATGCAAAAATCTGAAGCAATTACCATTTTCGACAGATTGAGGAAAAGGGGGGGAATATTATACGTCACGATTTTTATTTATGGAAGATGCATATAATCGATATGATATTTGTAATATTAATATAAAACCATGATTTTACAATTCTAGTTATTAGTTGGGTCAAAAGACCCACTCCATACATTATTGGTATAACCTCAAATTTGGGAATTTCTTGTATTCTGTATAATAAAATCTTGTACCTGTTGATACAACAATGACAATCCCGATACTGAGTAGGCTCAAACTCGAATCATCAGATATGAACCGGGAAACAAGAGGATGGGAAAATACTGTATTCTTCTATTATTTTCTAAAAACCTTCAGGAAAAAAAAAAAAGGAAATTTACTTGCATCGTTGTTGTCATGGAGCAGTAGAGGTGTTGGTGCCCCCGATCCATATGTTGTGAAAAAATCGACAAAAAGAAATAAAGATAGGCAGGCAGCTTTTGCTTTTAAACTTAGTCAAGGGGGTGATCAGAAGGGATTTGACCAAAAATATTAGGGCATGAATCCCACTTCCCTTTCTCTCTTGCCTCCCAATATCCACCAATATAACGGTATGTCTCGTTGTTTTTATCCTTTGCAAACCACCTTGGCTTCCAACCACTCTCTTGCATCTTCCTAGCCTGAATCTCATTCAAACAAAAAAAAAAACAAAGTCCAAATCAAACCAACCACTGTTTAGATACAGCAATCTAAAAAACAAAACAAGGGTTAGCTTCAACATCTTTATAGGGTTTAGCTCAACATTAAACTTGAATATAATTTCCTGCATCTGATACACTTTCAGATGCATCACTCATGGTTACATTATTGTTATTTACAGGTCAGTTTTAAAAAGTTTTCCGATATTTAAGTCATTAAGATTCTCAACTATAAGTTTTAAAATAAACCTACGACGACGGGATGATCTTTGTTCTTGAATAACCAAAATAGCATAGGAATAATAAATAAATAAATAAATAAAACAAATTGCACCACTGACGCATGGAGCTCACAACAAAAAAAAAACATAAAACTCACCTGCCGTTGCCTCTGCTCCAACCGCAGCTTCTCTGAATTTGCCATCTCGTACTCCCCATTTTCCAGATACCTTTGATCAGGTCTCAGCCTTGAATCAGTAGGAGGCAACTTTTCCTGCATACATAAAGGAGATTAAAACCAATGCCCCAATTACTTCAAACCAGTTCGTAGGGTTTTGAAGACAGTTTATTGATTTCCAGGTATTCCATTTCATTCTTACAGATTCAAATGGACACATCTAATTTCATCTTTAGGACCAATTCATTACTGAAGAATCTACTAAAATTCAAGTATAAGAGTTCAGATTCAAGGGAGGTGTGCTTCAGAGTACTAGTTAGATTTCAATTCAATAATAATAGGGATAACCCCACTTATTACTTTTGTACAACTAAAATTTCGAGACACCAACCGTGGGTGCAACAAATACCTTCAGACCAGGAGTCAGCTCGTTCAAAGTGATGGCAAATCGTGTTAAGTTATATCTGGTGGGATATTTAGGGGGCTTGCTCTGCTTCCAAAGTGTGTGAGTTTCTGAGAAAGACTCTTGTCCTTTGCCCTTTGCATAATAATCTCCAACCACATAATGCATGCTCTCATCCCATTTTCCCAATAATGAAGCCACTGTCCTTCCATTCCTATCTTGAACTATACCATGTACCTGAGGTGCAAAAAAAGTTATACAAACTGATGAATGTCAATTATGGTTAAAAAGAGGATAACAGAACAATATCATAATCTTATCAAAATACAAGTTGCTGATATAGTTCAGTAAATTGAGAAAGATGAAAGATCACCTGGTGAGGATTTCTATCAATGATAGATTGCTCCTTGAATTTCAGCTTACAGGAATATTCACGATTCCCCTCAATTCGCATGGTACCATAGTGATCACAGTACAACTTTCCCAGTATGAGATTGTATATTGATGTTGTCACCTGGAAAAGTAAGTCCATTTTCAATTTGGATACAACAAATATATCAATTTATGCATGTATAAACATACAACTAATTGTTACTTAATTTTTGGAGTTATACCTTACTCCATTGGAACACTTCTCCATCGTCAAACTCCAAGGTCAAAACACCGACTGGATCCAGCTGAATTGAGCGACCCCAGAACTTGCTCTTTAAATTGCTATTGCCCCACAATTTCCATCCTGTGCCCTGACAGTGACATGCTACAATCATAGGATG